CATTTAGAAGTTAAACTTACATCAAGTTGCTCCTACAGCTCATTAATTTAAATATGCTAATCACTTAGGGCAGGACTCGCTTCTAAAAAGAGAAATAAAAACATTAAACCCTAATTCTGCAAACAGTCACAAAAATTCAGATCGAGAAAACCTAACGGAAGAAAACTAACCATTTCTTTCAAAAGAGTATTTCCATCCTTAGTCAGCTTTATATCTCCAGCACCACCAACAAGCCTATAAGGACACAAAAACACAAAGTAATTAAATCGCAGAAGCACGGAGCGAATTCCGAGAGAAAAAGACAAAACAGCGAGAGAGTTACATCTTGATGGTGCCTTTGGGGCCGAGATTGGATTTTAGAACATCCTGTAAACCTTTAGCAGCATTGATGTTCATGTGAAGCGCCGCCGATTTGTTAAGAACCTCCGCGTTAGGGTTCAATACTCTTATCGACATTTTTTTTTACCTTTCAGAATTTGAAAGAGAAGGAGCGTGACTGAGTTCCCTGTTGCTCGGAGTTTTAATGGAAGTGAAGAGAGGAACTGTCTCTGCGTTGCGTTGCTTGGGTTTTCTTAGGGCTTTCTGGTAGCTTATGTAATATTTAATAATTTCGTTTTAGGGAAAACCTCAAAGTGGTACCGTAACTGTGAATTAATTATAAAATGGATCCCTAAATTCTTGAATTCTTCATTTGTTTGAGAAAATAATTTGAGCAACAAAAAAATAGTTAAATCAATTTAAAATCTTGTGCTCGTTATCCTTTCAAAATCCTGGAATAGTAAATGATTGATTTATAATTAATTTTTGAGCAATTTTCTTTTTAATAAAAATAATTAAATTGTTTCAAAGAAACTCACCTCTCATCTCGAAAGTGTTTTTGCACTTTACTTCCAAGAATATATAAGATTCTCTTTTAAATCTAATGAGAATTGTAATTGTAATAAATTGGAGCATTATCTTGAACTATCATATCACTATATATTTTCAAATGTTTAATTAATTTAACCTAGATATTTTTTAGTTTCAGAATTCTTCTTTACCCAAAAAAGACTAAAAGAGGAGGGTTGTGTAGAATTATGTTGTTAAGTTTTTTATAATTTAGTGATGATTGAGTTTTTTTTTCTCCTTTATATTCCTTCTTATCTTTTTCAAATTCATGTTAGGTCATCTAAAAATTAGGTCATTTTTTTATTTATTTTATTTTTTAATTATGTTTAGGTCATTTTTTTTATTTATTTTATTTTTTAATTATGATCATCTGTTTTTATTGGATCTTTATTTCTTTTAGACTTTTTTGAGATTTTTTTTAATTTCATCTATTTTTATTTGATTTTATTTAATTTTTATATCAAATATGATACTCATTTTTTTTTCTATCAATTTTTCCATTAATATTTTTTTATCTAGATTTGATCCTCATTTTTATAATTGCTCTTTTTTTAATCTATTTCTTAATTTTTTTCCCTCCAAATTTTATTGCACTTGTTTTTATCAAATTTTGGTTGTTATTCTTTTCATTACTTTTTTTTTACCCTTTTTTTATCTTATTTTCAATTTATTCTCTTTTTATTAATTTTTATATCAAATTTAGTCTTTATTATTTTAATTATTATTTGATTTCTTTTTTAATTTTTAATGGTAAAGAATTTTTTATTTTATTTTTTTTGTTTCTGCCTTCGGCGAGGTCATCTTTTTGTATCAAACTTTTACAGAATTCAAATCCAAGAATGAAGAGCAAGTGAATTGCTACTCCTGGTGTGCTTAGCAGCGAAGATAGAGAAATGGTGGAGATGGTTTCTACAAACTACCAGCCTCTGCTGGCCATGTTGATTCTGGCACTGAGGCGCATCTGTTGACATTAAGAAACAGTTCATGGTTTTCTAAATTTTAACAAGAAAAGTTACATTTGGTGAATATTTTTGATCCTATGAGATCTTATGACAAAGAACATTGATCCGGTAAGACTTCATTATAAATAACTTTTTCACCAGTCCAGTCAAAAAGGAGAGAAAGAAGAAAGTGTATTTAGGAATAAAGAGAAAGATTGCAGCCCATTATCGGGGCTCGAAAGACTTGTTTCTGGTGGAATTTAAGGATCAGAAGAATCTGGACTTTTCCTCTAATGAGGTTATCTGAGGTGAAAATGACCCATCAGACACTGGTTCTTGTGAAAAAGATCTTCAGCTTTGAATTTCTCAATGGGATTAGACTTTGAAGTAAATAAATTTTTTCATGATTTATGGTGGCATAAAATCTTTGAAACGGGACCAGATGAATATTGCATTCTCGCAGAAACATTGATCTGCCACTCCTTCCCAATAAGAAAAAAAGAAAGAAGTAAAAAGAACAAAAGTATCTTACCTTTCTAGCATTAGTCAGTTATACAACGTAAATCTTTATGATTTGGAATAAAATATGAATTTCCTGAAGAGAAGAACAAATGAAATAGAACGAACTTCCTTGTGCACCACAGAAATGGTCAAATCTCAGAAGGTATCTCCACCTTCCAAGTATCCGTGGAAGTTTCACTTGAGCATGAAAATAAAACACCTCTTGTTCAACCCAGAACGACCCCTTAGGCTCTTAGGCTCATGAATAATACTGATTGACTTTAGCTGCCACATTACATGGCTCTTTATTCCATATTCGAGATTTTCATGGCAGAAAGAGCGATTTTAGGTGCCTTTCTTATATATATATATATATGAAAGCTGAAAATGTGATTCCAGCATGGGGGAATTTTCTGAGTTCACAAACACTTCCTAGAACAATTCTGTAAAGCACACACATTTTCCCTTTCAAGAAAATGGTTCTATAATCAATCTTTTGCTTTTCTTTTTCAGTCCGCTCTTCGTGAATCTACTTTAAGAGCTTGCAAACAAGCATTTTAAGATTTTGAATGATACGGAAGTTCGGTAACTCCATTGACTAATGCATTATGTGCTCATATAACTGACTTTGAAAAGTTCATCATTTAAAAAAAAAATTTGTTTGAGCCATAAGGGCTATGTTAGATGATGTTTAATATAGGCATGGGTGATTCCCCAAATTTGACAGAACTCTAAGGGTGGCGAAAGCTTCATTTTCTGCCCTTAGAGAGCACAAATTCTTTTCTAGCGAAATTTCCAACTTGAATTTTCATTCTTTTGCAGAAAAATATGAAGGTGAATCATCAATACTTTGAGTGCATTTTCATTTTCCGTTAACCGGGGGAGATAAAATACAAAGGTAAACAACTTTATTTTGTTGACGAATGCTAGAAAGGTGAACAGAAGGTAAGATTCGGGCAAAGGAATAAAAATTCAAGAAGCTTCGTTAACACATACTCAATACTTTTCCCTGTAGATTCCTGTTATCCTTTTCTTTTTCTTACCAAGCAATATCTAGTACAGGCGAATGAATGTGCTTAAACAGTCTATAGCTAAAGTTGTCTTGGTAGGAAACTAAGTTCATCTTGCAATATTGATGTGAAAAGTATTTGCTTTGCTCTCAATTCAACTCAACAGTAGCTAGCATGATCATATCCTTTAGGAGATATTTCTGCAGAATAATGAATCATTTGCCAAGTACCACTTTTGAACTACAGGAAGAATTTTGTACCGTTGAAACGAGCAGAGAGCTCAAACAAGATTTCAGTTTCTAATGAAATTAATGCCTAAACTGTCATTATCTTCTAACCATTGTGTCATTATCTTCCTATCTCCATGTCGGCTATACAAGAGATGTAAATTCCATCTGAAGATTACAACACAAGGATTTGCGCGAAAGAAGTTTGAAGAGGACACCTTGGAAATCAGAGAGTCAAAAATCAGATAATAATGTTGGAGGATATTTGGTGTATAAAGTCCGCCGTCCAAAATCAACTCAAGAGTGCAGTAATTAAAAGCCTTGGCATATCAATAGTAAGATTTCTAACTTTGAGCTTTAGTTGCAGCAGTAGATATGTATGCAGATCACCTGCTATACATGATCTTGGATACACTTGCTTTCCTCGTGTACCGAGCAGATGTTTTGCTTGCTTATTATTAGTATTTTTATTTGGATTAACCTTGTCCAATGATGGAGACCGGTGGTTTCTAAATGTTAAATGAAAATCTCAATTTAATAGTTTAAGCTGATAGATGAGTTTTAAAATATAATTTATATTATTTTTTAATATATTTTTTTAAATAAAAAATTTTTTGTGCTTAAAACTTGTAGAAATACACATTTTAATTTTTTTCAAATAAATAGAGATGATGAGATTTCAAACTCGTAACCACTTAGTAATTGAGATTCTAATATCATATTAAAAAATCATTTTAATTTAATAATTTAAATTGTTAGATAAAATTCTGAAATAAATATAACAACAACAAAGACAAAATCATTTTAATTTAATAATTTAAGTTGTTAGATAAAATTTTAAAATAAATATAACAACAACAAAGACAATAAAAAAATGCAAAATGTCAGAACAAACTAGGAATCTAACTGTCATTATGTTTGACTCCATCATATTCCTTTCTTCTAAATCATGTTTGAAGTTGAACAAGTTGATTTCCAATATCTTTCCTATTTATAATGAATAATTCAGACTATATTCATAAGTATCTATCCAACAGCAAAAGTCAAATTGTAATTCAAATTGTGCCATTCACTCATCTTTAAAAGGTATATTAAGTGGACAAGGATAAGATTCCCTCAGGTGTTGGCTCATGTTGATCAACTATTGCAGCAAATTTCAGATAGAAATGTTTCTTGATGACAGTGATAGTCATTTACTGCCATTTCGAAAAATTACAAGTTCATAAATCTTTTAACGGTTTCCACATGAAGTGAGAATCTAAGTGGTGTCATAGCATGAGCTCAACTGCCTGACTACTTGTGAGATAAAAAGAAAAGGAAGGTTCCCTCTCAATTTAAAGTTTATCCTTAACCTAATCTTTCACTCTCTATATAAAGTGAGTTCAGATTTATAGCAGAACATACCAAATTGTCCATTACACCCCACTGCAAGGTAAGAAAAAATATGGCTGCCATTTCGTTTGATCCAAGAGTTAATCTTCAAATGAGAAAGAACTCTCACGGCGTAATTAGTGAAGAAATTGAAGGACTCATCAGAGTTTACAGAGATGGACGCATCGAAAGGCCTCCTATAGTTCCTAACGTTCCTCGCAATGTGGCGCCAGTAGATGATGTGACAGCAAAAGATGTTGTTATCGATAAGTTCACTAACTTGTGGGCACGCATTTATGTCACAAAACGCTCAGGCATACTGCCTTTGCTTGTTTACTTCCATGGAGGTGGATTTTGTGTTGCTTCAGCTGCCTGGATTTGTTACCATGAGTTCTTGGCCAATCTTGCTTCTAAAGCGGGTTGCATCATCGTATCCGTAAACTATCGTCTAGCCCCAGAAAACCGTCTCCCTACTGCTTACGAAGACGGCATCAAGACCCTTATGTGGGTAAAACAACAGACTCTAAATTGCTCTCCTGAGCATAACTGGTGGTTTAGTCGGTGCAATTTCTCTAGCTTGTTCTTAGCTGGTGACAGTGCTGGAGCAAACATAGCATACAATATGGCGACAAGGTTAGGGTCCAGTAACAATCCTGATTGCATGATAATTAAGCCTTTGTGTCTCAAGGGCATCATCTTGATCCAACCTTTCTTTGGAGGAGAGGCAAGAACTTTGTCCGAGAAAAACATGGCTCAGCCAGCTAACTCAGCTCTGACTCTATCGGCTTCTGACACGTATTGGCTGTTATCACTACCTTTAGGGTCTACCCGTGATCATCCATGCTGCAACCCTTTAGCAAACGGTGCAAGCAAGTTGCGGGATCAAAGATTTCCAGCAACAATGGTGTGCATATCTGAGATGGATATACTTAAGGATAGAAACTTGGAGTTTTGTGCTGCTTTGGTTAATGCTGGTAAGAGAGTAGAAAAAATGATTTACAAAGGAGTTGGACATGCATTTCAAGTTCTACTTAATTCTCATCTCTCCCAAATCCGCGTTCAAGAGATGGTGTCCCATCTCAATGCTTTCATCCACCGATGACAGAAGGAAAGGGTTTCATGTTTCGTCATTACTGTTTAAGTACTATCTATTCTGTGTCATAGCTTAGATAACGTTAACGTTGTTCACAAGATACGTATTTTCATACATGTATCTATATGTAGGCCTTCGCTTTCCGCATCATTTATCCTGTTTAAGCTGGTTTTCCTATTACTTTCTGTTTGTTATGCCAGAGTCAGAATGTGCTATATAATTGTAACCTTGCTTTTGCTTTATAAAAAAGCTTCTCTTTCCTATATTTGACTAGTCAAAAGGATGGTGGATTGCTCAATATTTCAAATTGAGTTGTATTGATCTCAAAGAACAATCTATGATCCCAATAAATATAGAAGAAAGAACCCCAATGGTGTTTCTACAAAAGGAATGTGCTCTGGGCACAGCTGAAAATAGTCATGTGTTGAATGATCGTTGCTGCTGGCGCATGCTATTTACAACCTTGGAACCTTTGTTGGATAGCTAATCTAAACCGCTAGAATCCTTCCCACTTTGGTGGCAGGGTAGTTGCAGTGATATCCAAAGATATTATATCCTTTTTTTTCTTTTTTTAAACCGATGACAATAGCAATCGATGGTTCTCCTTCTCAATTCATATAAGTTATTCCTTTGATGATTGATGAGGAAGCAATGGGCATAGAAACATAATCAAACTGTCAAAAGGAGTATTGTATATAAGATGTTTTCAAACTTTCAATGACATTGATCATCGATCATTTCTCGTCCTTCAGTCAGATAGTATTCGAGCATTCAATGAGCAAATGAAATTCTTTCGAATCTCCAGAAACTGCGACCCTGTCGCTTGGTTTTAATTAACAACCACCTGATCTTTTGCACTATAGAACAGATTTTAGAGAGACTAAAAAGAAGACCTTCTCTGTTGTCTCTTTTGCACGTTGGTTAATTTCCAATAACATTGGGAACCTGTCTTGGTCTCTTTGAGTTGCTCTTACCATCATGCCACTCGTGTCACCCGGGAGTTCATGTTCTGCTCTTCCATTATGACTTACGTTTTCATGGCTTCGAAATTTCATTTGCTTTATGCTTATTCCGCCATTCATCTTGGTTTCATTATATATTGCAAGTATCTTCGAAGTTAATCTCTATGCTTATTCAAATCAGATTTCATTTATTTTTTCTCATGCAATAAACAAATCACCAACACTTGTTTGAGGTTCCTTCATTTTTGAAATTAGTGTAAGCCTCCTAAAAAAAATACTCATACAGGAATACCGGATCCCTGAAAGTTTACATATCCTCCAAATTGTGTGACAACGACACAGAATCCTTATTTCAGTTTTGTGTAAGGTATCCATGGACAAATACTTTCACTGCTTCGACTTGGTGCCGTTCTGATCAAAACCCTGATTGGTCTTTAAGACGTGAACCTTTGGGACCTAGAGCCATCATGGTTTAAGAACTAGGTGTTTTGATTTTATGCTGTATTGTTGGTTTTAGCATTCTGTACTTCGCTGCTTTATGTTGTGCTGTAATGTTGCACTAGAATTATTCTCTGATCTGACCTGTAGTCTTCATTCTTTTTTCCTAACTGGTTAGTCAGCCCCATGGAGATTATTTTTATAGATTTTACTTGGATAATTATTATTCCTGATTTTCAATTTAGTGATGAAAGTGGACGTCAACCTATTCGAGTGAGATCGGATTACCATGTACTGGATCGTATGGCATCTTTTTGTCACTACTTTGGAGAGCTTTCATTTTATTGAAATGAGCACAGCACAGAACACTAAATCGAATTCTACATGATATTCATCAAATCAAGGCTCCATTTGTATCAGCATATAGCCATAATGATTGCTGATAAAGAAATCTAATTTCTGGCTGGGGATCCCGCTGAGAGATTTGCTCGAAAGCGAGAGGAAGAAAGACTAAAACATAGAGAATAAAAAAACCAGATAAGGTGATGGGGGATATTTGATGAATAAGTATACTTTGAAGTTGAAAGAGAAGCACTTACTTAACCATCGGTCCATTCAAGTCTGTAGAAACAGTGTTAAGATATAATGATAAGAAGGATCTGTCGATGTCTGTCATGTGAAGAAAACTAATGGCAGTGGTGAATGTGAATCTTTTAGGTCACTTGCATGTTCAGTGAAAGTCCTAGTCTGCCCAGTGTTTGCCTGTGTTATCTTCCCCCTACATATTGACTCCGCTTGATCTGCATTCTATATATTTCTGCTGTGGAAGGGTAATGGCAATGTAATATCTTGAAAAAGCATCAGAGGCAAGCTACCATGGGTTTAGATTCTTTGTGGGAAAAACTTTCTCTGAATTAAGCAGGCCTTTTTGCCAATTTCTTGCCTGGAGTCCATCTAAAAGCATTGATGAACATGTATTTAAAAGAGCATCCTTTAACTAACTGTGTATATTTGAAGAATACAGTTTCTGATATAATCTGAGTTTCTGAGATCATTTAGGCGTGGACCATGATAGGCTATCAAGGGAATCGAACCCTTTGGAAGGTGTATCTTTGGGTTATCTTAAAATGGTGGTACCTGCAACAGCTGCAATGATCCCATTTCATGAGAAGAGCATTTTCCATGGAAGTTGCAATGATCCTTTGGAAGTTGCATTTTCCATGCTCTAGGTAAGAGGTCCTTAAGATAAACTCCAGCCAGACTTGAAAGCCTTTCCTTTCGTCAGTATTTGTCTTTAATTATAGTGTATGGCTTTACCTTTATAATAATCGAAGGGTTATTAAGAACATGCTAGCCATTTAGATGACAGAGACCATGAAAAGATGAAGTTATTACGAAAGGAGTACCAACTGATGAAAAAAGAAAAGAACTAGATAAACAAAAGAAATGCCTGCGATATGGCCATACAAACATTCAGTGTTGCCTTCTGCTATTTGTCCAGGTTTGAATGTCTTCAACATTGATATGAAGATCATTATCTGTGTAAAGAGAATTAGCCTTACAATTCCTTAACCAAAAAAAATAACTGATGGGGTGTCAGACAAAAGCATGAGCCCTTAATCATCATTGGCCATTGATTCAGGAGCTCATCAACTGTGTGCTGGAACACGCCAAAAAATATCCTATCATGAAAAGAATTTGGTCTATAATGTCCACGCAAATTGGTAGTGAATCAACATATTATTTGAAGTCTCTATTACAGTGTAACAGAATGGACAAAAGAACTGATCCAAGGATAAAATATAGTGACAACATAGGTAAGATGTAGTACTTAGTTTTTGTTGAATGGCCAACCAAATAGAAGTCTGAAGTTTTAGAGGAGCATAGACTTCTAAACCTGTGTCTGAAAAGAGCATGATCCTGTATAATCTATGCTATCAATTAAAGTATTCCAAGATTTCGCATGTAAATTTCCCATCTTTGCGAAGTATCCATGCCTTCAACTGGTTTAGTATGATGTAGCCATACCTCCTAAAAGACTTGATGTAAACACATTGCCTGCTCAACTTCAAAAGTTCTAGGAGTTCTCCTTCAGATGACGTTCCATACCCAGTTTCCATTTATCCATTTCTAAAAAATTTTCTGTAAGCACACTAGAGCTCTACAAATCTGAACCACCTCGTTAGCTATCATAAGAACATCAACAATCTGACATCCAGTAATAAAAAAAGTCTGACTATCACTGATAAGATCCCGGATGACGAGCTTGAGTCTGTTAGAAAGAATCTCTGCAACAACTTTATAGAGACCATGAGTCAAACTAATGGGTCTATAATCTGAGAATTGAGATGGAAACTTGGTCTTTGGCAGCAAAGTTACAATAGCAAGATTAAGTCCCTTTGGTAATTTTGCTGTTGTGAAAAGATCAGAGCAATCCATCCAGAGACATATTCTACAATGTGGACATTAAATTTAGACTTGTCCCAAAGTTCTAGCATCCCACCTGAAAAACCCTCTGAATCAAGAGCCCACCATTTAACTTCCTTCCGATTCCATATTTTATATATCACACTATTTGTACAGGAAGGCATTTTGGTTTCAAGCAGAAAACAAACTCCAACATCATGGGTGTAGGACCTTAGAGATAGCCTTATGTTTCATAGTCATTCCTAAGCCACAGACATTCCAAGAGAAAACCTTTATTTTTATAACAAAATAAATCCCACGAGTTACCTTCTGAAGAAAGCCTACTGTATAGCATGCCAATCTGAAGCCTGCCTTGGCATTTGATTTTTAATCTCCTTTGTGAAATGATCCAGTGTAATGCCCCCACCAATGTCCAAAATACTTCCAGCTGCAATCGTATTACAGACCTCATCGTGGCTGTTCGTGTTGGCATCTGCTATCTCCAATGCGAGTTGCAGAATCCATTGAAGAATCCTCTACTTCCTCTGTCGTGTCCTGTAAGCTTCCTACACTGGAGAGTAGTAGTCTTTGCTTACGAAATCTACTTCTTTGAGTGACATTGGAATTAAGAAACTGTCGTGCCGTTTGTATATGTTAAATGCAGAGTCATGAAGCAACTAGCAAAGGTTTCCATATGAACTGCAGCAATATAATTATGCCTATCCACGTTAGAATTTGTAGCCACATCAACTTGTGCAGACTCTTAACTCATCAGACTCATCATCGTCTTCTTGGTTGAGCAATAGCATGAAGGTATCCATTGCATAGGAGATAGACTCACCATCTGAATAATGAAGGGAGTCAATTTCTATAACCTCGATACGATAATCATCTCCATTCAAGCATATGAATTAACAATCTTGCACAGAAAATTAAGGATTATAATATAATTAATATATATAAATTATACCTTGAGGTCTAGAAAAATGAAATAAGCACTTGATTGAGATAATTTCTAAAACAAATTTGAAATAATATATAAATATTATTTAAAGAAAAAATTTATATTTTACTAATTTATAAGATTTTTTATATTCTCTAAAAATAGTGAGCTATTCCTCCAAAACAATTATTAAACTAACAAAAAAAATTAGGAGTGAGTCTATTTGTATGGCACGCTATTGACTTTTCCCTAAACATTTATAAAAATTAAAAAATTAATAAAGATAATAATATTTTTATTTAAAAAAAATTAACAACACCAACTAAAAATAAAAGACCATCCAAAATTTATTTCTCAGTAAATACACATCAATATTATGTTGCCACAACTGTTGATTTTATTCAATCTTTATGTCATTTATTTCATGTGTCT